TAATCTGCTTTTGTGTGTGTTTAGTTTTATTCTGAGTAAGACTAATTCAAACTGATTTTACACAGTTTTTACACAGTAAAACAGTAGCGTGCTGACAAATAGTAATAATAGTAAGTAATAACGGCAATGTGGGAGTGCGAATCCCAACTTACAGACCTTGCTCAGGATATTACTAGAAGAGATACAGCTGCAGCCTGAAGTTGCCAAGATTATTTGTATTTAATTGATTTTAATGATGCTACTATTGTTGTGAGTATCCACAGCTGTATCCCATCAAGACTTGACCTCTTTCCCCTTTCTCTTTCTTATTTTACTTCTTGTCAATAGCTATACTGTTCTCTCATAATAAATACAAAAATGCAAATAAAAATTTAAATTACAACAATTGAGCATCAGATAGCATATTAAAATTATTTCTAAAGCTCCAACAAAGGCTCATTGTGAAAACGTAGCCCTTATACATTTCTGGAGAGTGCGATTTATGTAGCCAAAGCTACGTATGGCTGCATTTCGTCTTTAAAACGAATGCTACAGTGTGGTATAATGCCACAGACAACTTTCTTTTAGTGCTACAAGCTGACTGATTACCTCCGTGTGGACGGCTTATCCGCTGTTACCAGTTTTCCTAATAGCTTGTTGTGTATGTCAGCAGACTTGAGAAGCAGTGAAGAGCTGACCACGTTGGCGAGAAAGAACAGTTCCAGAAAGCAGGTAAAACAAAAACAAAAGGCAAAAAAATAATAAAATAAACATGTAAATAACAGGGTGAGAACTTGGTAAAATCACAACAAGGTAAAAACCAGGCAGCCATGAGGTCATTTCGTTTTGAGATCTGAAAAAGCGCACACATTGGCCTCTGGTGGATTCGCAAAAACAAAAACTACAAAAAATGTAGCTTCTAGGACATATTTGGCACTGTTCAGAAATGTATACAGGGGTACATGTTAATAACGAGCCTGGGTTGTAAAGTTCATATTATACCCCAAAACTTGAATAATAATGCTAAAAATTCAGCTTCGCATTACAAAAATAAATTAGACTTAAAAAATAAATTCAAATATTAAAGATTTGTTTTAACTTGTAATAGTATGTCAGTTTTTTTACTGCATTTTGCATTCATTCATTACTACCTATGCACAGAAAAAAAAGTTAATTGAATTTACTAAATGGTTTTAAGGCAAGTAGTTGCAAACAATTTATATGGGCTGAATTTCAACAAACAAATTAAGTTAAACATCACTAAATTGAATTTTTGTGCTTAAATTTAGGCCATATAATTTTTTCTGCAAGCACTTACCATAATGTAAATCCAATGAATTTTTTTTTCAGTCTGTGAGCATACACTGTAAAAAAAACAAAAAAAAAACACTGGGTTCCACACAAATTCTTTCTGTTGTCCCAACACAAATCGAATAAGTTTATCTAATTGTTTCTAAACAATTAACTGGGTTGAACATAAAACAATTAAGTGGACCCTTAAAAAAATCAAGAATTGTGTTGATTCAGCTCATTTTAAGTTAGTAGATTAAACTCACTTTTTGATTGTACTGTAAGTGTCTTAGTGCGTGTAAAAGGTTGAACGTTGTTTTCTCAAATCCTGCAAATTCATGTTTCAGTAGCTTGTGAGACACCTCAGCCAACATCTGAGTTTTTACACTATGACTTGTCCTTCCAAGGCCCCGTTGTGACCTTTGTGAACCAACCGAACCCTGATCTCACCCTCTGAGACAGCAGAAAGGTGCCAGGATTGTGGTGGTCTTTGGCACCTCAGACACACAGTGGGCGAGACTGTTAACATATATTAGTTCACAGCCTTTCAAGACCACTAATGTTCATATCTAATCACGAATCTCAAAATGATAAAACAGACTTGATGTATTATATGTTCATTTTTGGCATTTAAATCAATACGTTTAAACATAATCAACCTCTTAACCCTCCCATGGGAACAACGGTGTTTCTCATGCTGTGCAGCATTTTGCACCCTGAGTGTGAATCAAAACAAAATATCTTGAGAAAGAGGTGCTGCAAATCAGGAGAAACATGACAGTGCATTGTGAGAACAGCACAAGTATGTGGAGCCCAATATGGAAAAAGAAATGCTGTTAAACAAGGACATCATCATCTGAATCTCTAACACTCCAACAGTACTTATTCACTGCAGAATTTGCATGTACAGTAAAATGATCTTTGAGCTCAATTTTTTTTGTATATTTTCCCGCCTACTCACACAGTTCCACTGACCGTAAATGCTGAATAGCTTGTCTACAACTAAAACCTCTCAACCAAGCGAAAAATCAGACTCCGCTCCAGCTCAGTTTCCCATATCTTGTTGTTACATCTTTCACACAGTTGCTCAAACCCCAGGACAGAATGAACTGGCAGGCAGAGGAAAGTTTTCAGCCAAAAAAAAAAGGCAAACACAAACTGTGTGAATCACATAAATGTTTATTTTTGCAAATCATAATTTACACATGTGTCACTAAAGAAAAAAACAAAACAGAAAAGATATTATTTCTGTGACAGGTGAAACAGACTTCCAAATGAATATATAAAGACGAAGACGTATATTATAAACAATTATAAATTAATTATGCTGTGTTTTTTATTAATTATGCAATATGAGGAGGTTTCCTGGAGTGAATCTGCAACATGTGGATCTGTTCAGATGTTAAATCTGGTACATGTATTTAATTTTTAAAGCAAACTGTAATGATGTGAGCATCCGCAGCTTTGTTCATTGTAATGTGGCAGTTTTGTGAACTTTAAAGGAACAGTTCAGCCAAAAATAAACATTGTTATTATTTACTCACACTAACGTATGTTCAAAATTATGTGTTAAGCAGTTTCAAAATGATATGTCAATTGAGTGGTGCTAAAAAGCTAGCTAAACTTGTATTAAAAACCGATAAACAACGTACACTTAAAAAATACAGATTTGATGCTTGTTTAGTTGAACCAACACAATTTATGCACTTTTTGGGGACAACCTAATTGTTTTATGTTTCCTCCTGTGGAATAAATTCTGTGGAACCCTTTATTTTTTACAGTGTACACTTTATGTCCCAACACAAATCGATTAAGTTAGCTTAACAAATTCAAGTAGATTGAACATTAAACAACTAAGTTGTCCCAAAAAATCTGGAGAATTGGGTTGTTTCAACTCATTTAAAATAAGTAGCTTGAACAAGCAGCAAAATCTTTTTTTGATTGTACTAAACGGACACTAAACCTAAATAATAGTGGGGGAAGAAAAATCTAGGACTAATTTATTTAATGCTAATTTATGAAAAATTTTAATTAGTTGTTTTACATACACACCAAAAAAAGTTTACTCCACTGGAAAAAGAAATGTATTAGTTTACAAATGATACACTAATTTAAGGATGTTTTTAGTATAGCATAGCAGCAAGGTGTTGTACAAGGAACTGAGCTGAAAAGAGTCTGCATTAATTGATATGATTTTTATTACAGTTATTTTGTGTATTGCTGTACACAATATTTGTTTTAACTGAAAATGGCAGTGAACTGTATAGTTATATTTATGACATTTTGCAAAATGTTGGTAGTGGTTTGATTTTCCAGCGAGCCCTGGATGGTTTTTGTCCATATAATGCATGTCAGTAGGGTCCAAAAACCATATTTTACTTAGATTTCACAAAATACGAGGGTCAGTAACTAAAGATGAATTATTCAATTTTGGATGAATTGTCACTTTAAAGGGTACATTTACATGACACCAATGTACTAAAAGCAGAATTTCTTTGTCTTCGCTTTTTTGAGAAAAGTTTCATATGCATAAAATGGATTTACACAGCCACTCACATTTTAATCACTTTGGATAAGAGCATTTGCTAAATTAATAATTGTAAACAGATCTACAAAAACAGCTACAACCCTGTATTTTGCATGCCAGGTTAGTAGATGTCTCGAAAACTATTGCACATCTATACACATAAGGTCCTATATTCACCATTGTTTGTTTTTTATAGCAAGCACTCGCTTATGTCTACAGATTGAACATCTAGTAGTATTAATCACCTGCATGAGGTCACCATTTTCAGTAAAGCAGCATTTGTATCATTTTCATTATCTTCGAAACCCATTTTCAAACGCTCACATTTTTTGACGTTTTGTGTTGGCACCAAGAACGACAACTACAAAGACAAAAAACGTTCTGATAGAAAACAACAGACCAAACTGTAGCGTAAGAGAAACAGATGTGTGTGAATCCCTGTAAGAATAACAAACTTCAGCTAGACTTAAAGCTAATAAACGAAAAACAAAGTAGTAAGACAGGCTCGAACAATTTAAAGCTAAAGACGATAAAAATGAAACAATGATAAAAATACATGGAAGTGATGCAAGCCAGGCTAGCAAATTGAAGTATAAAAAGTATTTAGCATTTTTGTTCTGCCTCCTTTGAAAATGCTGGGGAAAACATTTTGTGTTGTTTTTATTTTAATACACTGAATACAATCTCTAAATTTGTTTAATTAGATACATACATTTAAGGTTACATGAGCTGGATTCACTGGTAAGATGTGCTAGCAGCGGTAATGGGATAGTGAGCAGTTAAAGCTAAAAGAAAAGCATAAACAAAAAATAAGCCGATTTTTAAAATTCATTTTAATGAACTCCACGGTAGTTTCTTATTTATCAGGGGTTACCACAGCAGAATGAACCCCCAACTATTTTAGCATAAGTAGATGCCTTTCCAACCGCAACCAAGTAGATTTTTAAATCAAGAATACACGATTCTGAATTCACTGGTCAGATGTGCTAGTAGTACAAGCGGGTACACACTACATACTAAGGACAAGCGGGTAATGCAAAAAAAAAAAAAAAGAAATATATATATATATATATATTTAGCATTCGTCAAATACATTTATTATATGTATATTTACGTCTATCATGCATGGTTTGAACTCGTTTTCGAAGGCTCCTCTAACCGCCTCATAGATGTCGAACTAAAATGATACGCTACCAATGACTAGTATGGTCTAAGCAGTTTTATTTGCAGTGAGACATACAGTAGATCATCCAGACAGCACATTGATAAAAGACACAAACTTTACTTGGTAAATTACACACATGCAACTCAGTCAACAACAAGTACAGATATGTGGCTCTGTGAAGCTCAAGTCCAAAGTGTTTAAACCGTCTGACGTTTTCAGGATGCGAATGAACAAAACAAAAGGGCACTGGAAGGAGAGCGAGAGAACTCTAAGAAACCACACATTTAGTGAAAGGCAAGGAAAGTGAGGCTAGTCCCGTACGGTTCTCCGCCAGTTTATAGTTAATAAAGCAAATAAATAAATAATCATAACGGAGGAAGCACACATAATGGTTTCCGCACAAGTGCACATTCGCCACTGAGTATCCGAACATACAGCAACACATTAAGATCAATCTCTTGACAAAAAGTAGGGACAAAAATACACCTTTTTTTTTAGCGGAGGATATTTCTTAAGCAAAGGCAGAGGGTGAGACGGTAGCAAAATTACAAGCTATAGAATAAAATAAAAAGAAAATCTTCGACAGTACCTGAATTTTATATAGATTTTTTAATCAAGAAATGGCACAGGATTGAGACTTTCATGATTCTTGATACCCCATCCAAACAAAATTGTGACTATTTTTGTTTATACTGAAGAGTTTTGCTCTATAGATTTCTCTGAATCTATGTACAGTTGAAGTCAGGATTATTAGCCCTCCTGAATTATTTAATAAGTCCTCCTTCTGTTTAATGAAAAGAAGACACATTTCTAGACATAATAGTTTTAATAACTCATTTTTAATAACTGATATATTTTATCTTTGCCATGATGACAGTAAATAATATTTTACTAGATATTTTTCAAGATGCTAGTATTCAGCTTAAAGTGCAATTTAAAGGCTTAATTAGGTTAATTAGGCAAGTTGGGATAATTAGGCAGGTCATTGTATATTGATAATTTGTTCTGTTGGCAATTGAAAAAATATTGCTTAAGGGAGCTAATAATATTGACCTTAAAATGGTTTAAAAAAATTATTCTTGCTAAAATAAAAAATAAAAATATTTTCTCCAGAAGAAAAAAAATTATCGGAAATACTGTGAAAAATTCCTTGCTCTGTTAAACATCATTTGATAACTATTTGAAAAAGGAAAGAAATTCACAGAAGGGCTAATATTTTTGTCTTCAACTGTATGTAAGTGGTCCAGATGTTTTTTTGTGTCCCCGAATAGGCATGTATATGAAATATCAGGCATATGGATACATAGTTGACTAGGGGTAGAGCCATCATTTGGTCCTTGGGATATTGTTAGTAATTTAGTCTTTTTTTTCAACACACCCAATTTTACTCATGCCAGCAGTTGTTATCTTCACACTAATAGTCATACACTTTGAGCTTCAGATTTTCACATTAAGACCTTCTCTCTGGTCTCGGGCAGTTTCAGGGCCAGCACTCCGCCACTGACCAGAGCAGCGAATGACAGCAGAATGGGGATGACTTTGGTAATGCCTATGAATGAGGCGAAGATTGAGCTTCCCAGAATGGCCGCCAGCTTACACATGGCGTTTAAGAATCCGAACGCTGTGGCTCTGCAGAAGAAGTTGAGAACAGGCAATGAAACACAGCATGTGAGTACAATTGATTTCTTTTATTAAGCCTGAAATAAAGCTACGATTAAAATGAAACAAAAAAAGTAACAAAGTTTGAAATGTTGCCATCGCAACTAATTAAATAATGTGCTCACATTCTGAATGTACTAAAAACTACATCTGAAATAAAGCCAAGAAAAGTTTAAAAGTTCACCCTTTGTAGCATGGGTATCATGCACTAAACAAGGTGTGAGACTTTCTATGAGCAAAACAGCAGAATGCTGCTAAAGCTAGTTTAGCATTTACTGATCTGCTAACAAAAACAAAACTAATTTGTAAGTTACCAAAGGCCCACTATAATTTACAATTGTCTATCCGCCAACCTGATTTCACCAAGTAGGACATGTTCCTGGATCAACATCTATGTTGATCCTAGAACAACATTCCAATCAGCCCATCAGAATTAAGGCATACTTTTAGCATTTATATTAAGTTTGTGTTTTTGCATTTCTTTGATTGTTATTCAACTATTATTCATCTCTGATTTCGGGAATAATTTATAGTTTGTGTTGGGTTTAGGTGTAGGTTATGGGTATGGATTACATTTTCAAACAAAAATAATGTTCCAGGATCAACATAGATATTAATCCAGGATTGCATCGTACTTGGTAAAATCACGATGTGCATTTGTTATCACTATACTTTCACCGGCCACTATATTAGGTACATCTGTCCAACTGCTAGTTAACGAAAATTTCTAATCAGCCAATCACATGGCAGCAACTCAGTGCATTTAGGCATGGAGACATGGTCAAGACAACCATGCTGCAGTTTAAACTAAGCATCAGAATGGGGAAGAAATGTGATTTAAGTGACTTTAAACATGGCATGGTTGTTGGTGCCAGACAGGCTGAATGTAAGTATTTCAGAAAATGCTGCTCTACTGAGATTTTCACGCACAACCATCTCTAGGGTTTACAACGAATGGTCAGAAGATTAGAAAATATCCAGTGAGCGGCAGTTCTGTTGGTGCAAATGCATTGTTGGTGCCAGAGGTCAGAGGAGAATGGCCAGACTAGTTTGAGCTGATAGAAAGGCAACAGTAACTCAAATACGCGTTACAACCGGGTTATGAAGAAAAGCACCTCTGAAAGCACAAAATGTCCAACCTTGAGGCGGATGGGCTACAGCAGCAGAAGACCCAACCGGGTGCCACTCCTGTCAGCTAAGAACAGGAAACTGAGGCTACAATTCACACAGGCTCAGCAAAATTTGACAATAGAAGATTGGAAAAACTTTGCCTGGTCTGATGAGTGTCAATTTCTGCTGCGATATTCGGATGTTAGGGTCAGAATTTGGTGTCAACAACATGAAAGCAACATGAATGCCTTGTAATAATGATTCAGGGTGGGTGAGGTCGTTTAATGGTGTGGGGGATATTTTCTTGGCACACTTTGGGCCCATTAGTACCAATTGAGCATCGTGTCAACACCACAGCCTTCCTGAGTATTGTTGCTGACCATGCCTTTATGACAAAAGTGTAGGCTACCCATCTTCTGATGGCCACTTCCAGCAGGATAACGCTCCATGTATTAAAGTGCAAATCATCTCAGACTGGTTTCTTGAGCATGACAATGAGTTCATTGTACTCAAGTGGTCTCCACAGTCACCAGAGCTCAATCCAATAGAGCACCTTTGGGATGTGGTGAAACGGGAGATTCGCATCATGGATGTGCAGCCAACAAATCTGCATCAACTGTGTGATGCTATCATGTCAATATAAACCAATATCTCTGAGGAACATTTCCAGTACCTTGTTGAATCTATGCCACAAAGGATTAAGGCAGTTCGGAAGGTAAAATAGGGTCCAACCCGGTACTAGTAAGGTGTACCTAATAAAGTGGCTGGTGAGTGTAGATTACAATAATTACTATTAGTCATACCTTTTAGAAGCTGGGTAGAGTTCCACAGTGATGACCTGAATGCCATTCCAGGCTGCTACGCTAACACCATAAAATAGACACTGCCAGGCAATGATGGCGGCTTGACTGAAGCTCAAGAACAGAAAAAAGGTGCATCCCGCAGAAACAAGCATCGAACCACCTGGAGAGAGAGAGAGAGAAAAAAAAAACATGTATTTTAGTTTTTAAATCCCATCCTGGTTAGAAACTAAACTAGCTTACAAGGTATTAGCCTTTAATTAGCGGTTTAGCTCACCTATAATCTTGATTCGTCCAATCTTATCCATGAAGAGTGCCGAAATAATATTTCCAGGCAACACGGCTAAGCTGCCCAAGAAGCTGACCAAGTAGATGAGGACGTCGTTGTCCTCCTCGTAGTCTAAATGGCATCCCTTCTTGTTGTGGAGGAAAGTGACGTTCTCCATAGTACAGTCAATGAACTTTTCTTCATACAAGTCTGTGGAAATAAAGAAACCATGAGTCCTATTGCTCAAAACTATCTCTGAATTACGAAAACAATCTCTTACCTGTGTCGTAAAAAACAGTACTGCGGATGGTGCAGTTTTCAAACATCGTTTCCGTTGATCGGACGTTTTCAAAGAAGCAATCAACAAATAAGGAGTCTTCAAATTTCACAGACTTCATCTCAATGTTGATGAACCTGCACGAAAGCCGACAAACATTGAGATCCTGACAATTAAAATGCATGGATGTCATGGATAACAGACTTTTGCAGATGGTGTTTATGTGAACGTACTTGTCGTTGATGTATTCCCCTTCTTTATGTACTTGGTTTTCCAAAGAGAAGTTGAAATGAAACTGCTCCACCTTTTCCCGATGGAACACTTTCACTTTGGATTCATATTCCTCATGCTGGAGGTGTTTGATCATGTCAGGAAACCATACCGAAAGCCCATAGTAGCTAAAAAAAATTGCAGAAGAAAGAGAAGCAATTGAATGTATAGTATTAAGACGCAGTTTTTGGGTGGGGTTATCTCTTTTTAGACCAATGGATGATTGGGATGCTGTTTGGGTGTGGAAATTTCAGCTTCTAACACTACAGGTGCTAAAGTTAGCCATTTTTGCTTTAACAGAAGATGATTTAAAGGCTATTTTTATGCAAAATAATCAATCTGTGCAAGAAACCAAACATTATTTACAACATTTCACTCATGGTGAACTTTTGCCAGTGCTAAGGATTAAAAAGTATAATGTTGTGATGTTTATTTAGTTGCAGACTGAACTTTTTACTTCATAAGACTTTAATTAGGAGTTATCAATGAGTATCGATGGGTTTGGCTGTTGATTTTATATTACCTCTATGATCTTAAATCACTCTGAAAGTGCTAGAAGTCATTGATGTGGATTTTATCAGTAATCAAGGGCCATAATTTCCGCTAAAATCTTCGTTAATGTTGTTCTGAAGATAAAAGTGTTAAGTAAAGATTATTAAATAATGAATAAAGTGGTTTACCTAAATGCCATAGTGAACCATATGATGGCCATCAGTAGAGTAGCGAGTCTTAGCTCACGACCAAAGAGAGACAAAACATTTTTGATGACCTGCACACAAAGATAGCTTCATTTTAAGATTGCATATTGAACAACTTGGTAAATCGATAAGACAGATGGTTTTATGGTTTACCAGCTTGGTCAGTGTTAAAGTTCGAACCACCCATCTTTGGAAAGCAGTTCCAGTTGCAGTCTGAATCTCAATGAACTCATCCTCTTGGGTCTTTGGAGTCCTGATTTGAGTTACCTGGAAAAAGGATTCATCATTCATGAGGCACTGTGGTAAAATCAGAGCTAACTGCATTATTTTGGTTAATAGTTTTCCCCAAAATAAAAATTCTGCCATTAAGTTATCCCAAACCTGTATGAGTTTCTCTTAACTGCTGAACACAAAGTAAGATATTTAGAAAAGCTTTGGTAACTAAATAAAAATCGATGGTATGCATTGACTGTCATAGTATTTTATTTCCTACTATCGACTGTCTAGTTACTCTGTTTTGAAACACAACATTTTGACATCTTTTAAAATATGTTTATTTTTTGTGTTCTTCAGATGAAAGGAACTCCTATAATTTTGGTACTGTCAGTAAATGTTAATTTTAGGTGAACTATTCCATATCAAACCAAACCAGCCAAACCAAACTCACAGTAAAGACTTTTTCTGGTTGTCCTTTGGCTCTCCAGTTGGTATCATGAACCTGTTTAAGGATCATCCAGGCTTCATCATGTTTAGCATTCTGGAAGAGAAAAAATATTCCTTTCTCATAACTGTGTGAATATTGCAAATTATGTTTTTGCTCATAATTTGATATTTTTATTCAGAAAGAATGAATTAAGTTGATCAAAAGTTACAGCAAACCAGGGTTTCTGCAGAGTCTTTAAAAGTCTTAAAATGTCTTAAATCTCAAAATCCTAATTTTAGACCTTAAAAAGTGGTAAAATTACTTAAATATTCTGTTGTTGGTTTTAAATCTTTTTAAAACATGTCTTAATGTTCCTTTGTTCATGTATTGCTACCAAATCTGGCCAAAAACCATACAATCACCAACTATAATCTCAATAAAACTGACTATAATCAATAAAAAGGTCATTTTTAACTCTATTTATCCTGATGGTTTAATTATTTTCCTTACTGTAACATTTTTTTAAAAGTTCTCCATGTATTTACTTCTGAGGACACTGACCTGGACAGATTGTTGTGCATAGATTTAGTTTATTATAGTTTTTAAAAGATTTATACATTTTTTTTATGTTAAAGACAGTTTATGTGGGGAAAAAAGTGTATGGATACAAGAAGAGCTTGCTTGTTTTTACACAATATTTAAAATATTTAGCTAAGAAAAAATATAAAATATATATATAAAAAAATAATTATTAATGTATTATTAAATGTAATTATATATATATATATATATATATATATATATATATATATTTTGAAAAGGGCTAATAAAAATCTTTCCATTAGGGCCATTTAAAAAAACTCCTTAGCCTTTAGCCCTAGGGTCAAAAATTCAATTTATAATGGTGTTGAAAAGTCCTTAATTGAACTCCGTTTAACCTGCAAAAACCCTGGCAAACACACTCATTTGACAAAAGAGTTCTATTTAAAACAAATGTTTCTCATTTAAACCAAATAATACAAAAAAACACATATTACATTTGAGCAATTTTATACTTTCTTTACTGCAAACGCCAGCTCCATAACGCTGCTCATTTTTTAACTGATGGTAATATGAAATGTTACTTAAGCACCAAATTCAGCTTCGTCATCAGGAAAAAAAATCATGCTTTATCATGTGTTAAAATATATTTTCAAAACAGGTATCTTAAACTATTTTAAAATATTCTTGTTTACGGTACTTGATTTGATAAATAAATCTTTAGAAGCATAACATTTCAGAAATTAATATTCAAAAAGGATAACTTCTAAACTTTTGTATGGTATATAGACTACAGTAGATTTATAGAAGTTCAATTACACATTCGGTTTATTTAAATACCTTGCATAAGTAAAACTTTGCTTATGACAAAATAAGATTATAAATGAGGTGAAATCCACATTGTAAATAAGACTGAATCTATTAAATTAATTAGTCAATTAATTAATTACTCATTAAATTATCTTGCCCACTTATAAATTAGTTTGTGCTGTGTAGTTGTAGGCTGTGAAGTAGTATCACATAGTTTGATTACAAATGTCTACTCTTCTGCATATTCGCTTTGGATAAAAGCGTCTGCTAAATGACTAAATGTAAATGTAAATGAAAAATATTTTGAGGTAGTTTGACAGGTTATGGTAACCCTAAAGCAAGAAAACTTTTATGGTTTTGAAACATAAATTAAACATTTACCTCTAGCAGGAAGCGTGGGCTCTCAGGCATGAACATTAGTCCAACAAAAGCTGCTATAGCTGGGAGAGCACAAACCAGCACAAACACCCGCCAGCTGTGGAACTGGAACTCTGTGCCCATACTGAAACCCCAGCCTGAAAAACAGCACAACACAACCAACGTGTAAAAACTAAGAGGAAATCAGTTATATTATAATATATAAGGAATGGTAAGCTGATTTAACCTTAAGTTAAAAAACATACTACTATTTATTTTTATGCTACAAGTATTTATTTTGTTGTCACTATAGCTTAATATATAGGGTATCATATGTATTATATACTAGTTAGTGTAAGAAGTGCAATGATATTATACAGCGGCTGAAAATAGTCCCTATCTAGATTTCATTGTGCCTGCTGCAGCCGTGGTGCAGCAGCAAAGTTCCTTGATTATTACGCCAGATTGAGAATTTTTCCTAGCCATAAAACCATAGAAAATCTTTTAATTTTGATGTCTGTCTTAGTGCAAGATGTAACAACAGAAGTTTCAAGCTTTAAATAGGAAACAAAACTATTTAGTTATTTTTGAGATGCTAATGGTCTAATCCGATTCTGTGATCTATGCTAAGCTAAGCTAAAAGTGGTCCCGGCAGACCCGGAGATCAGCTGTATGGATTAAAACATGTTAAAACTCAATTGTTTATCTTTAGGGGAGTTGTAAAATGAGCATAGTGGAGAGTTCCTTCAAAACTGCTTGCCATTAACATGGTATATATGTATGTACTGTACCGTATCGTGGAATGATGCCCCATGCAGTGAAGGAGGCGTAGATGCCACCCATCATCCAAAACATGCAGAGCCAGCTGAGATGTTCTCCTCTCTTATCCATTTGCAGGAATTCCGAGAAGTACGAGTACACGATTGGGACGGAGCCACCGATCCTGCAAGACAACATGGGGCCGAAGTGCAATTATTCCAACCTACAAACATTCATTACCTTTTTCTGGTCCACAAAACCTCTGTAAATGAGGTACGAGAGCATTATTAAGAGTCATGATGTAGTCCTTAGGGTGTTATAACTTGAAACTACTACCAGAGGCTGCAAGATTAAAAGTTGCCTGTGAATCAGTATTATAATTACAGCCTTTCTTTGGAGTCAGGGGAAAAGGGATTTACAGCAGGACTCGACCTCTAATGGAAAACAGTGAGTTATTTTGATGCAATTAAATGGCTTCTGAGGTGGAGGGCAGACCTTTGTGCTTTATTTCTTAATGTATTGTTAGTATATCTTTGTTTTTGTTTTCTTTTCTCTTGCTTACCCTATTCCAGAAAACAGCCTGAAGAAGAGGAAGAAACCGTATCCCTGGGCGAACGAGGAGAAGAAGGCAGAGATGCAGTTCATGGCCAAGACGATGATCAGACATTTCCGTCGACCTACTTTATCAGCCAGACCACCCCAAATAAACGCTCCGAACATCATTCCCAGAAACACTATCAAACCTGCAGGAGAAATGGTAAACCATTAGAAATCAATTAACATCAATATTTAATTTTTTTTTATTTTTTTTTAGTTTAAGGTGGCATTAGGGGCAAAGCAGTGGCGCAGTAGGTAGTGCTGTCGCCTCACAGCAAGAAGGTCACTGGGTCGCTGGTTCGAACCTCGGCTCATTTCTGTGAGGAGTTTGCATGTTCTATTTTTTGCCTACCTACCCTAACCTGCCTAGTTAACCTAACTAACCTAGTTAAGCCTTTAAATGTCACTTTAAGCTGTATAAAAGTGTCTTATAATATCTAGTAAAATATTATTTACTGTCATAATAGCAAAAAAAAAAACAGTTATTAGAAATGAATTATTAAAACTATTATGCTTAGAAATTTGTTGAAAAAAATCTAAACAGAAATTGGGTAAAAAAAATAAACGGGGGCTAATAATTCAGGGGACTAATAATTCTGACTTTAACTGTGTGTGTTGTGTGTGTGTGTGTGTGTCTATATATATATATGGTAACTACTAACTAAGAATACTAATAATATGCCTTCATTTGTTTATTTTATAATACTAATTTAAAATATTAATTAGTATTTTTTCATTTATTACTTTTAGTAGTCATATTGTTTGACTTCCTCTAGATGGCATCCTCTCCTTCGTTTCCTTCTCAATTGGTATACAGTTAGCATTATGATTCTGTTCATCTCCCAAACGAAATTTACTGCAGAGTGTTTACTTTCAATCAATCTTATCTAATGAGATTCAGTAGATTCTACATGCGTTTTTTTTAATTAAATATGTAAGATCAGAACTCAAGTAACCACAATCAACTCAGGCTAATGCAGCCTCTCAAATGGAGGGAAAGGAACAAGGAATGAACAGTCAAAAGGTTAAGTGATTGCAATGAAAGGTTTTGCAATTCTGGTCAATCTTAATGAGCGCGAGTGGGTGTTCAGAAGCTATAGCAGAAATCACAGGTGTGCTGTTTGGCTGACGAAACACAGCTAGCGAATGTACCTGTCAGCGGGAAGCTCACTTAAGAGAACTGCCATTAGGTTTGAACCTTTGTGCAATGTCGGTGGAGGCACATTATCATTACTCCGCTAGATTACCTCCTTTTTTGAAAGCTGAAATTATTACAATTATGCTTCGCAAATGTACCAGAAATTTAAAAAGTTGAAATGGAGTTTAAAATAAGTTACAATTGCTTAAATGATAGGCTTGAAAATGGTGCTGACAAGGATGAGTTCAGTATCCAAGGAATGCACAAGTTTGTAACTAAAGTATTTTTTGTTTAAAAAAAAAGGCAAAAATGTTAATTCAATTAAGACTTCAGACATATATCCAGAAATCACAATCCATTATCAATACAAGGAAGACTCTGGTGCTTTAATCGCTGCCATAAATATTCAGAAAGACTTATTTTACATTTAAATTCAGTCAATTTGGGCTACACGGTGGCGCAGTGGGTAGTACAATCGCCTTACAGCAAGAAGGTTGCTGGTTCGAGCCTCGGCTGGGTCAGTTGGCATTTCTGTGAGGAGTTTGCATCTTCTCCCTGTGTTCACGTGGGTTTCCTCCGGGTTCGCTATATAGGTGAATTGGGTAAGCTAAATATCGTAGTATATGACTGTGATTGAGTGTGTATGGGTGTTTTCCAGTGATGGGTTGCAGCTGGAAGGGCATTTGCTGCATAAAACATATGCTGGATATGTTGGCAGTTCGTTCCACAGTGGCGACCCCGGATTGATAAAGGGACTAAAGAGGGTCACACACTAGAAGGTGTCCAGCCACGACTCAGGACACTGTTCATATTTCTGCCGTGACACAGAGTGTCATCTGATTAGTTTCATTTTAAATAGCGTGCGAATGTGCGCATCTGGTGTGTGACGCAGCGCTAAGACGAAAAGAAAATTAATGAATGGATGAATTTAGTAACATTTTTGTCCAAAGCGATTTATGATAGAGGAGATATTCAGCAAATCAAAAAGTAGAGGCAATGCACACAAGAAGTGCTAATTATACAAAGGAACTGTTAATGCTCAGAGAGTTAAGTTCCAAGGAGTGGGGAGTATATATATATATATATATATATATATATATATATATAGAGAGAGAGAGAGAGAGAGAGAGAGAGAGAGAGAGAGAGAGAGAGGGAGAGAGAGAGAAAGAGAAAGAAAGACAAAATAGTGTTTCTACAGGTGGTTTGTCAAGCCCACTCACTTGTGTTCATAAATGCACCATGTTTTTTTTTTTAGATGGAGTGATTGTAAGAAAGAATCTGGTGAAAATGTGCAAAAAACTAAACAAAAAAACAACATGGGCAAGTGTCTTTTACAGTGTCAGAAAGAGTTAGTTTTCTACAAGTGGTTTGTTAAGCCCACTCACCTGCGAGGCACAACCTCAATCATTTTGTTACATCATTACTTGTCTTCTACTTCTACAAAGTATTGCAATTTTTAAGATAAATCAACTTAATTAATAGTTAAATTCTCTTTAAACTTTATATGAATGCCTTCTAAATATATGATTATGCTTATTGAGAGATAAAGTTGTGGTCACATTTGTAAACTTCTGCAAAATGCAAAAAAGAAGTCCAGATTTATGGCATTCGTATAGAATTTAATGCATTTTAACAGTAAAAGTTTGTTGTACAACAATATGTTGGACAGTATTTAAAATAAGTAATTGACTACTATTGCAGCAACCCATCAACTAGTTTTAAAAACATATTTGCATTACAAAATCTAAGCAAATCTCAAAAGTATAAATCTAGTAAAAACATTTTACCAACATAAAAAAATTATAAAAAATAAAAACAATTAGTAAGTTTGGTTAGTGTTTTATTTGTAGAATGTCAAATAAAATTTCCTTTTTGTCTTAGTGAATACAATTTTAAGGCTGGTGCAGTAAATCAGCCATGAGACTGAGATTTGTCTTCAGATTTAACCAATTCAAATCATTTCAGTAAAACAGTAAAACATTAAAAATCACAAAATTAAGTTAGTTTAACTTATAACTTTTAATAAAGTTGCTTTGACTTAATGAAAAAAGAGTTATGGTAACTCATAAACTGATTATATTTAGCAAAACTCAAACTGAATGAGTTATGAATGAAATAATTCAATTTTTTGTGTTAATTTATCTCTAATACAAATCATTTGAGTAATTATATAGTTGTTTAGACTTAATTTGTATTACTTACTGAACTTAGCGATTTCATAACTGAACTTGTAACTGAAAATGTTTAAGTTACTAATACTCTGAACATTTGATGATAGCAACACAAATAATATGTCTATGGGACCCTCTCTCTCTCTCTCTCTCTCTCTCTCTCTCTCTCTCTCTCTATATATATATATATATGTATACTTTACAGTACACAAATAATTTGCCGCAACGGGTTTGCTCAAACAGTAACTTCTGCTATTAAAGGACTTTCTAAGCAAAATCTATTTAATTCTCCAAAGTATGTAACATGCTACCTAACAGCTTGTAAACCTCTCAATCTGCAATTCAAATAGAAGTGGTCTCATATAATTTGTTCATTAAAATGTATGTAATTAATATAAAATGAAAATAATACGTTCAAATATGTACAATTGGGCCAGGTATTCATTCATTCATTTTCTTTTCGGCTTAGTCACTTTATTAATCAGGGGTCACCACAGCAGAATGAACCGCCAACTTACCCAGCATATGTTTTACGCAGCTGATGCCCTTCCAGCTGCAACCCAGTACTGGGAAACATCCATTCACTCTTGCATTCACATACATACACTACGGACAATTTAGCTTACCCAATTCACCTATATAGCACGTCTTTGGACTGTAGGGGGAAACCGGAGCACCCAAAGGAAATCCACGTGAACATGGGGAGAACATGCAAAGCAAAAGACTCAAACCAGTGACCTTCTTAATGTGAGGTGACAGCACTACCCACTGTGCAACCGCGCTGCCCCGGGCCAGGTATAAATAAAACATTTTCCTCTTTATTATGCTTTCACCCACCAGTATGTGTATTCTCAGCTCCTCTGAACTCATTATCAATGTTCTCTGTAGATTTCCCCCTAAAACTACATACCAGAACAGGCATGAAACACAAGGGCCTGGCTTGGAGTATACAGATGGTCATGTGGTGAAGCAGGTTTGCTGTACTACTGGTGAGAGAGCGAGCAGATCAACATATGGAGCAGGTCTGCCATTATCCCCCACCGCTCGACACAAGGATCCTCCCAGCACACCATTGGTCAGGCGTAATCCACAGAGTCATGCAGTCGTGACGGTGTTTCAGAGCCAAAATGAGACACGAAGGCTGAGCCGATGCCGTGATTTCATTCTTTATTGCAGTCCAGATTAATATGACAACCTGAATTTACGTTTCAAGGGTTGAAGGCGGCGCTTGTCAGCTGAAATACTTTCTCGTATCCCAGACCAACACACGGAGGCTAAGTAAGATATTTGTACGTCTAGATTCTACCTTGCTTTCAAAACATTGTTATTTTTGTGTGTGAATTCCGCCCAGCCTGACTTACAACAGTGGATTAACCAATGGTGAGAGTTTTGGGTGGGGCTATTTGATTTTTAAGACCAAGAGATAAATGTGGGTTCAGTAAACTAACGAAAAGAAATTCAGAATGTTTCCAGTGGATAGTGGCAAGATGGCTCAGTGGTTAGCGCTGTGGCCTCACTGCAAGAAGGCCACTGGTTTGAATCCCAGCTGGGCCAGTTGGCATTTCTTTGTGGAGTTTGCATGTTCTTTCTGCGTCACGTTGGTTTCCTCTGGGTGCTCTTGTTTTCCCCACAGAAAAAAATCTAATTTCAATTTCAGTCAAGACACGATGAGATTGTGTACAGAAGATGCCGCATTGGACACACAAGACTCAAGCATGAACATTTACTTAAAGGAGAAGAACCACCAAAATGTCTACATTGCAACAGAAACCAAACAGTTAAACATATTCTTGTGGAATGCCCCATTTTTAATGTTCTCAGACAACAATTTTTATCT